AAGGTTGAGAACCACTGTTCTAGAGAAATGTGTACAAGGAGCAACCCTCTTATTTTGGGACAAAGGCTTTAGGTCCCAGGGGGAAGGTTTTGATGAATTTGGCAGCCCTCGTGGAGAACAGGAGTTCCATTTTAGGTCCTCTTTAAGTTTCAGAGCTGCCCGTGAGTCTCTTAGGCCAGTGTTTTATTCCCAGGGTGATGTAATGTAAATCCACACACATGTAATGAAACAGGCTTGATTTGCAGATCTAAATAGGTTTACTCTGGCCCTCCAGCTCACCATGATTTCTTGTTTCTCACAATGGCTATTTCCTCCGGGCAGGAAAACGTAAGCCGCAGAGCCCAAGAGCGGATCCTTTCCAAAACTGGAGACATAAGTAGCTCAGACCTGAATTGGTGGCTTCTGGGACATTCAGTGGACAGCAACGTGCAGCACAAATGATAGATGCGTTCTCACACTTTTAAGAAAGGCATCTACTGAAAAGAGACCACCTAGCCCTTTGCAACAACAGCAGTGAGTTTGATTAATCTGATCATGCCAAAAGCTATAAAACCAGTATACTTTTGCAGCCCCTCTCGGCAGGTGACATGTTTTGATGTGGCTGAGCAGGTGTCTCCTTCTGTTTATTTCACCTCTCCTTGAAGAAATTCTCCAATAGGCCACAATTTTAGTTGCGCCTCAGATGTGTGATAGCTGCAGGTCCATAGGCAAAGAAAACTGCCTTATCTTATTTCAATATTTTGCATCTCATATTCTCTTCCATTCTAAAAACTGATTAGTTTGCTTTGGTAAAGACAAAAAGCTAGGAAAGCCAGTTTTAGGAAGCTTTGTGGCTGGTTTTAAAACGTTCTTAAGATAAACCTCTTCCCCCAGAACATATTTTCTGCAAGAAAAACTATTTAATTTGTTTAAAAAAAAAATATTTAAAATTATTACTTTTAATTACTTTAAATAAAAATGACCTGTAAAAATCCACAGAAACATGCTAACAACATTGCAAGTTTTTACTTAAGGGGCTTAAATATGCAAAATCCTTTTAAAATATGAAATAATGAAAACAGCTTGACCAAGTAGTCAAATCTTTATAAAGGAATGGATTTTTTTTCTTTCTTTTTTTTGGATAAATGAAAAATGAAATGTTTCAACTCATGTCCCAAATACAGGCAGGTTAAGAAAGGCAATTCCCAGTCAAATCTTATTAAGGAACGCCTCGTAGGGGTTGTAAAGCATGTTCTTTCTTATTCATCCAGTTTTGTACTACATTGGGGCTACAGAGGAAGGTGTGTGTTTTATATTGATATAATCAGTTAAAAGGAACTGGTTTAATTTGATCCCCAGGGCCGCTTTTATATTGCAAATACTTTCAACCAAGGCTGTCCATCGAAACTGCCATAAAGAAATTCCCTTTTTAACTCCAAAAAGAAACGAACTGGGAAAGGGAGGTTCACAGTAGCCGAGAATGTCAAAAAGAGAAATTAAAAGGGGAGGCCCCTCCCTGTCCCTGTCCCCCCCCCCAAAAGAAAGCAAAACCTGGTCTTCCTGTTCAATTGTGCTATATTATTTTTTTTTAAGCCAAACTAAGGAAAACAATGAATAAACTGAGCGAAGAGACTGCTAGGAGCTGAAGCAAGACTTGTCTCTACATCAGGGTGGGGCAGCCACAGTGCTTGAGCCACTTGTGGACTTCAACTCCCAGAATTCCTGAGCCAGGAATTCTGGGAGTTGAAGTCCTCAGGCCATCAAGGGGGCTGTGGTTGCCCCCCTCTGCTCTTAAGTGAAGGATCCTCTGCTGCTTTTGAACCTTTGAATGTTCTTGCTTTGTTTTTTGTAACTTTTAAACTTTGTAACTGTCTTCTTCTTTTTTAAAAAATCCAAATAATAACGTTCATAAATGTCTGTATGATGGTGCTTTGCAAGGATATATGATTGATGGCCAACATTTGGCCAGCCCAGTTCACTCGAATCGCTAATGTTTGTACTGTAAAATAAAGAATGTTTTACTTGCAAGCTGTACATAACTCTTGTACAAAGTTCCTCATCCTTTTTTTTTCATTTATTATTACTATAAATGGAGTTGTAATAAATAAATCGATTTTTTTTAAATAATAAATTGGGTCCGAAAGTCTATTTAGTGCATGGATGGCTTAGATCAGGGGTCTTCAAACTTGGCCCTTTTATGACTTGTGGGTTATTCTATTCTATTCTATTCTATTCTAAATTATATTCTATTCTTGGGATGTTGTGTTGTACTCTGGGTTATCTTTTAGGCTTGGAACATTTTGCTCAGTAACATCATTGCAGGAGATAGAAAAGTCAGGTTTGTGTGTGACAAGGGTTCGATATATCTTTCTACCATGTCAGTTATACATGATTAATGGGAAGGACTTTGGATTGCAGTTTTAGTTATATGTGAATAATAATATTAAATTTGTATTACATTTCGTAATATAAAATACAAATGAAAATAAAAATAGGGAAATGAGGAAGGGAAAAAGTGTAGGGTGGGAGGAGGAGAAGGAAAAAGCACTTCTAATTTTTTTCAGCACAATGGAATAAAAATAGCAAGGTACGGTTTTACAGCAGGTGGCAGCACCAAAGCCAAATGCAGAGGTGCCTGGGCATCTGGAGAGGCCAGCCAGAAAGAAAGAAAGAAAGAAAAAGAAACAGCCATTTCCATCTTGCTACCCAAAAAACTGCATGGATGCAATCACCACGAGGGGCTGAGCTCAGCTGAGCAGCCTTCGTCTCTTTATTCAGAAATGAATAAGCTGACTTTGGGGTTATTTTAAGGAAGTAACCATGTATTAAAGAAGACAATTGAGCCCCGCGGCTTAAAACAGGAAGCAGCACGTGCTCAGAAAATGCAAACTGCAGAAAAAAAGAGTCGGATATACTGAAAGCCTTAAGGCAGCCCATGGTGGGGTGATTTTAAAAGGCAGAGTGGAAAAGGGGGATGGGGGTCAACCTATTTTCCAAAGCACCTTAAAGGCAGGACAAGAAGCAACGGATGGAATCTAATTGCCTTCAGAGGTTGTGGGTGCCCCATCACTGGAGGTTTTAAAGAAGAGACTGGCCAGCACTTTTGTCTAGAATGGTATAGGGCAATGATGGCGAAACTTTTAGAGACCGAGTGCCCAAACTGCAACCCAAAACCCACTTATGCCGGGTGGCCGTGGCCCATTGGGTGGGCGTGGCTACGGTGGTAACGGCAGACTGGGTGGGACTAAAAAGTTCAATCAATCCCAACTTTGCAAGATCTTTTTTTTCCCCCGTGAGAAGTTGAAATTGACTGATTGAACCTTTTTTTTTTTTTTTTGCACATGGCGGTGGAGGCCTAAAGCAAAAAGGTTTTATAAAATCCAGCTGAAGGCCTAGGACTGGGGCGACGGCACGCGTGCCCACAGAGAGGGCTCTGAGCGCCGCCTCTGGCACCCGTGCCATAGGTTCGCCACCACTGCTATAGGGTCTCCTGCTTGAGCAGGGGGCTGGACTAGAAGACCTCCAAGGTCCCTTCCAACTCTGTTATTCTTCCCTCCTTCTCCAGGTGCACACAGCATTCAGCCCCTCCTGGATGCTCTCTATAACAAGAGATTCAGGTCTACTTTCAAACGATATGGGAGTGAGACGAAGCACGGGCCAGAGGTTTGAAGTGGCATTGGTCATTGACACTTGCTGTTCAACAATATTTTTCTTGAAGCCTTTTTTTTTTAAAATGTGGTTATTGGCAAAAATGGCATGATCTCCTCTGGGAGATCAATACTTAAAAGCCCTGCAATACTTCCAACTATGTTCCTCTTTCTTAATACCAAACCACTGAATTACTGTTTTTTCCATGGAACCGCACTCTTGAGTCGGCCTTTGCAGGGTTCTTCCACAGTTTCAGAACTGCAAGATTTACCACCTGATCAAACCCCCATTTTATGATCTAAAAAAATGAAAAACACTTCTACCCATTCTGAGAATGCGAACTGAACTGGGGCTGAGGATGTGGCCTCTGTGATACCGTTGCTTTTTCTGGCTTTTTTTTTTATTTTGGTGGTTTCTGATAAAATGCCCGTTACCGCCGTGTGCTACCACAAGTGATTCCTTCAGGTGTGGTTTTCTGTCTTGCATCTCTGAGCAATAAGACTCCACCTTCAGAGCCAAACTCGGCGTAAGCGGAGACAACTTCAGTCGATTTGTTGCTTTGAATTCCGTTTGCATTTTTTTTTAATCTTAAAAATCTGATCGGTTTCTCATATAAGCGACACAATATTGGAGGTAATTGGATGTGGTGGTGAAGGTGGTGGACTAGGACTGGAGGGACCTGGGTTCTAGTTCCCCCTCAGCCACAGAGTCTTGGGGGGGGGGTTGGTGGGCAGTCCCTCCGTCTTAGTTCGTGTGGTCTAGTGGAGAAGTTGTTGGACTCACGGCAGGAGAGGCAGGTTCTACTCCTTCCTTTCCCTATAGCAGTGTTTCTCAACCTTGACAATTTTAAGGCATGTGGACTTCAACTCCCAGAATTCCACAGCCAGCAACGCTGGCTGTGGAATTCTGGGAGTTGAAGTCCACATGCCTTAAAATTGTCAAGGTTAAGAAACACTGGCCTAAAGCCAGTTGGGTGACCTTGGGTCAATGTGTTCCTCTCAGCCCTAGTGAACATCAGTCCCTGGGACAACCTGGTGGAGAAACAAAACATCCCAAAATGACAGCTTTTGTTGTTGGTACTTAGACACGGCCAGGGGACTCGAGGCTCAAAAAAACAACACTGTTGATCATTAGCGTGTGACTCTTCAAAAATCTAATTACTAAGACAACGGTCTCACTTCAAGACCAAGAAAGCAATCTTCATCCCTAAGAGAGGTTGAAGAGGGGGACACCATGATTCCAGGCTTGTTTGCGAGCTTTTAAGATACCAAGGAAGGAGGGAAGAACAGAGTGCTCACTCCACAGAGCAACTAAACAAGAAAATGCAGAGAAGGAAGGGGTGGGTGGGCGTCACTTGTTTTATTGTTCTATTAATTACGCGCATCTGAATCAATTGTCGTGACTTACGCTAATTTGGTCTCTTAGGATCAATCACTTTCAGATCCAGATTCAGGTCTGTCATCCCTAAACACACCTTCTTGGGCCAAAGTCATGGTGTCGTTTTCTATTTACACTTGTAGCAAACCTCCCAAGGAAAGGCAGCGGGAGATCTGTTCAACGAAAAAAGCCAGCATCTAAAGACAGTTAAGCCAAAGCAGCAATTTATGAGCAATATTGACAAGGCCCCCAGGGGGAAAGGCAAGCAGGTCACAAAAAAAGTCAAGATGTAGCCGCCATCTTGTCTTTTGGGGATACCGTCCTTCAGACACCTTCAGGAAAGGGAGATCCTGGCAGCCCAACGTTGGTCTTCACACTCCTGGCAACCGCTTCTCTTTTCCTGAAGCGGTCATGCAGACTGAAGAAGCAAGGATGAGTTGCCTGCTTAACTTGAAGCCAAAGTTGCAAAAAATAAGTAGTTTCATTCCCTCAGGAGACTTCCGATCCCTCCAGGAAGAAGGAGGCACGGCTCCTTCATCTCTTGCTCAGGCTGAGCAGGACTAAGACAGCGTCAGCCATTGCAGGCCCTGCCCTCGTCCCATGACATCCGGTGGCTGCCCTTGCTGGTCTTTCAAAAGTTTCCATGTGGCCCACCCTCTCCCCATATTGGAGGCAATCAGGAGAGTGACCAAGTTTTTCCTTTTTCCCTCTCACATCCCAATCACTTTCTCCATATTAACCAGCGCTCTTGAAGGAGAAGATCTCGTTTCCTCATTCAACTTCTTCCTGGTCTGGAAATCCTAAGGCTTTCACCTGGAAGAAAAGGAGAAAGGGGGTGGGTGGGAGTTATGGGTGTTTCCAGGTTTCTTGCAAGCTCTGAGCCTGACCAGCGTTTCTTAGCTGAGAAACAGGTTGTCATGGATGGTCTTTGAGAACTTCCCTCTTCCTTATGCCAGCCTTTGGGGCGTGAAAGAAATTACCAACTTCCAAGCAAACAAACCGACATGGCTGGTTTGTAGGCTGTCTGGTCAGCCACACGTGCAGAAAACACATCAACACAACGTTTCTGGAACTCAGTTAGAAACTGCTGAGGGGTGACATGATAGCAGGGTTCCAATATCTCAGGGGCTGCCCCAAAGAAGAGGAAGTCAAGCTATTTTCCAAAGCC